GCAATTGGGAGTGTTAGGGGTGGGAGTTGTCATTTTCAACAGAGTCATCCAGGAAGGCCTTACTGAGATGACACAGGAGGCATGCTCTGAAGGAGGGGGTGGGGAGTCAGCCGCTAGGTGCTAGGTAGGAGGAGCACCCAGTGCAAAGGCCATGACGGGGCCTTGTGCCTATAGCATCAGGGAACAGCTGGCGTGTGGCTGGCGCAGGTGAGTGGGGGAGCCCCGGGGGATGAGGCCAGAGTTGACGGTGGGAGATTGACGAGGGGAGGCGATTATAGGGGTTAGGGCTTCTTTTTCTGCGTGGGGTGAGAAGCTCATTGGAGAGTTTTAAACTGAGACGTGACATAGAGTAACTTAAATTTTAACAAAATCATTCTGGCTGCTGTGTGGAGATTGCACGAGGGAGGCAGGAGTAGAAACTGGAGGCCAGTGAAGGAGCCATGAAATGGTGGGCCCCTGCACCAGGGTGCCGGTAGTGGCCATAATGAGAAATGTCTGATTGTAGGTCGTTTTGAAGGTAGGACATACAATTTGCTGAGCTGGATTCTAGCCCTCAGTTAGTCATTTATGAACTGTGACAGCCCATTTCTAAGAAGACTCCCTTTCTTCATGTGTACAATGGGGAAAACACTATTTGGCTTAATATTTTCTAGGATTATTATACTAACACAACGTAAAAAAGAATGCGAGCCCCTGTTGTGAAACGTCAAAGTCATTTACAGATAATTAAGAGCCACTACTTACCGGGCACCTTCCCCTCAGGTTTTCATTTAGTTCCCTGTCAATCTCACAACTGGATGTCACTATGTACATTCTAGAATCGAGGGAAGTGAAGTCAGAGAGCCACAAGCAAATAACCAGAGGGTCAGGATTCGAGCCAGAACTTTCTGACCTTGTATCTGAGCTCTTGGCCACCCGGCTACGTGTCTTCCCTAGAAAGCATTTTTATTATCCCTCAGAGACTGTGCCTTCATACAAGGCAGTGACCTAGAAATATTTGCCAACTTTGGAGCAGACAGCACGTAGGGCATCCTTCCCGCTGCCATCTGATCATGCTTTAGTAAGAGTATGTACCCATACATTTAGAAGCCCACACGTAAAATCATGTGGGGGAAAGTGAGATAAGCTTGTTGAAGTTATTTTGCATTCGAGGATGTTTGTGTGGACAACTTCAGCCCAGTTCCTTCCAGATCCCTTACTTCCCATTGCTCTATAATTTCACACCCCTCTCTCTGGCCATGTCAAATAGTGAATGATCTTTCTCTTGCTTCTTTCCCTGGGACCCATGGGTAGAATACTGTGTGGAGTTCCAGAGGACCAATGGCTCCCTGAATGTGACCTCTGAGAATGCCACCTCTCCTGTCATCGAGTTCTGGGAGTAAGTGAGGCCCTCTCCCCATCCCAGTGTGGGCAGTGGGTTTGAAAGGAGGCCGCAGGGATGGGCTCATGTGGTGCTGACCCTCAGTGGACAGCAAGAGAAGAATTTCTGTTTCCTTCTTTGGTGGACCTGTCACTTAAGTGGCTTTTTTTTTTTTTTTTTTTTTCTTGTTGGGCTTGTATCTGTGGTTAATGCAGAACTGGTTTCAAAGATGAGAATTTTGCAACTCTCCTCGGGCCGCACCTGCCTTCCCTCCCCCGTCCCCACCCCCATGTTCGATGGCGCACATGCTTTTGTGTGGACACTCCTACCTCCCCTCCCCCTGCAGCTGCGTGTGTGCTGCCTCCTAGCCCCCCTCCCTCGTATCCATGTTCACTTAGGACATGATTCCTAATATCAACACATCCCGAATCCCTGGTTGAGAAGATAATGGGTTTGCACCTCCCTCTCTAGGTTAAATTGGTACTCAGCCTCCCGGAGCATACTTAGCTGGGAACAGTTTATATTTATCTCCCTTGCTATCTATCCCCATCTCTGGGCAAAGGAGAGCCTCATGGATCTGAGCAAAAAGAGCTGACGAGCCTTTGGACAAGAGCCTGGAGGCATGGCTCCGCTGCCTGAGACATGTGGGCCACAAAACTGAGGCTGGGGCTGAAAGTGGAGCCTGACTCAACCTTCTCTCCCCAGGAGGCGAGTCCTGAAGATCTCCAATGGCATCCATGACCTGGGGGCCCTGCGCTGGGAGCTGGCCTTGTGCCTCCTGCTCGCCTGGGTCATCTGCTACTTCTGCATCTGGAAGGGGGTCAAGTCCACGGGCAAGGTCCGTGTTGGAGAGCTCCTGGCCCCTCTCGTCCCAGGACTCCCTGCCCTCCCGGGGGGCCTGGTCACCCAGGAGCGCCCTGAGCTGTAACCTGATCAGGGACGGGAGGGAATGAGCTCGTCAAGATTGTATGTGGCTCCCTCCCTTGATTCTGTGCCTCTCCTTGCTTCGCTCCTGTGCACTCTGGTATGTGGGGAAATGGAATGGAAAGGAGGGAGAGAGAAAGGCAGGAAGGACACTTCCAAGGAATGTGATCTTGCAGTATACCGCACGTGGGGGCACGTTGCAAATTGAACAGACGTCATGGCTCCCTGATTTATTCAACAGTGGAAAAAGAATCCCACTGAGACTATTTATCTCAAAATGATTCGCAACCACCCTGAGAACTTGGGGGGGACTCTGCCAGAGAGTGTATGAGGTGTTAGAGGGCATTCTGAGTCTTCTGGATTCTTGCCCTGGAGGCCTCTGACAAGGCTTCCTTCCTAATCTGGCTGCCTGGCTGTGCTAAGCTTGTAAGCTCTGTGAGGACAGGGATCATGTGTTGGAGAGCTTCTCATGCCTGACAGCCCTTTGCCATAATTCTAAGCACACTTGTTGGGAGCATGCCTGAGTTCATTTAGTCACTTGACAAATATTTACCGGGTATGTGTCAGGGGGAGGGTGGGTGTGCCTTAAGCTGGAGGGAGAGAGGGGTAGGGGTGGTTGTGGCTTAAGGCAGAGGGCAGGTGGAGCCCAAACAGCTGCAGGGGTGAGAGGGAGGGGGCAGAGAGAAACACTCTTGACCTCCTCTGTGTGTGTGTGGAAAGGGGAGCTCCTACCTCCTGCCTCTGCTGCCTGGGGGCGGCGGGGGGGGGGGGCGGGGCTCGGGGCCCCTCCTTCCAAACTCACAGGTTCCTTGTCTTTCATCTGCCCTCTGGCCAGGTGGTGTACTTCACAGCCACATTCCCCTACCTCATGCTGGTGGTCCTGTTAATTCGAGGGGTGACGCTGCCCGGGGCAGCCCAAGGAATTCAGTTTTACCTGTACCCCAACCTCACGCGTCTGTGGGATCCCCAGGTAAGAAGCCACAGACAGGGGCCATCCCGTGGCTCTGGAGGCTTTTTCCCTGCTCCTGGCCCAAACCCTGCGGCATCCATGGTGGCGCGGGGGGTCTCCAGCACTGCGTCAGCAGCTGTCTGTGGTCCCCCGCTTGGTCCGCGGCTGCCAGGGAGCCCAGGCATGATGCTCAGGGGCTGCGGATCCGTCACCCACAGGCTGCGGCCCCGTCCCCACCACCATCTTCCCCGTCCCCCTGTCCCATTTTTCCTCTGGGTGATCTCACCTCGATATCTTACCCCTCCACCAGCCCCTCTGGTTCCGTCCCTCTGCTCACGTGGCCCATCCCGAGGCCCCAGTTCCCCAGCCCCTCCCGGCGCCGGCTGGGCTGGTGTTGAGTTTCCTGTCAGTTGTCCAGAGGCCCTGGCCTCCTGGCCTCCTCCCTCCCCTCCAGCCCTTCCTTCACGTCCACTCGTCCACTCGGTCTGCTTCGGCCAGCTTCCTCGCGTCCTGGCACAGGGAGGGGGTGCTGCTTGCTCACTGGAGGGGTTTGGAGAGCAGGGCCTGAAATAAGAAGCCACCGCGGCTGATGGGTTTCTTATCTTCTCCTGTTTGGCAGCCGTTTTGAAAGCTGGCAAAGCCAGGAGGTGTCGAGGGCCGGAGGGGAGCGTGGGTAAGCTCCACCCCAGAGCCCCTAAAATGCGTTGCCCAGCTACGTGCCCCGCCTCTGCCTCCCTGGCAGAGAGGTCGCCCTCCCTTTGGGGGCTGGAGGAGCTCTCCGAGTCTGCAAGGGGGCCCTGAGGAGACAGAGGGCGGGAGGCTCCCAGCACAGAAGAGACGCGAACAGCTGGATGGCTTTGCAGACGTTGCAGATACTGAGTTCCCTGTTGGGCAGAATTTGGGGGGGATCCAGCAGCTGCATTTTTCTCACGGCTCCCAGCCAACCTGGCAGAGTTAAGTCCTGCCATCCTGAGTTCTACTGGCGACCGGCAGTTGCCAGAGCACTCATCTTCCAAAAGCTCCCCATGGAGTCCAGCAGCCTTGTGTGCTAGGTCCTGCTCAATGATCTGGTGGGCTATGGGCTCATCCTTCCCTCCCGCATTTCTTAGACATAGTGGAGGTGTGGATTGACGCTGCCTCATCTCCACGTGAGGCCCACGGGCTGTAGTCAGGCTTGGGAGCAAACGGTGGAACTGTAGTCATTGAAGCTAAAAGGCCCCCAGAGATCAACCAGTGTAAACTCCTCACTGAACAGATGAGCAAACAAGGCCCAAGGTCACATAGCAAGTAAGTGGCTGGCCAAACAAAGTGTACTTTTATCTTGTGAATCATAAGCCCTTTGACTTCTCTGGAACCCAAGTGTTGTGGTGGAGAGTCCATAGCAAGCAGAAGGTCGTGGGGGCCAGCTTTGAAGGCCAGGGCTGGAGGGTGGCTTGGATCTCCTGTGCGGGAGGGCTCCACTGTTGTTCTGGAACCGCAGACATGTGAACCAGTGGCTAAGCAGCTGTCCGCCTTCGCTTGGGGGTCAGGCTGGGAAGGAGGAGCCATGTTCAGGCAGGGAGACGGGCAGGTAGGCTGACAGAGAAATAGGAGGAGGGGTCTGGTATTTCTGGAACGGATTTTCGGCTTCTGTGACCAATGCCTCATTTGTCTTGATCAGCTATTTATAGTCAACAACGATCGAGCACTAACTACGTCCCCGTTGTTGTTACATGCAGTATCGCAGCTGGCCCTCACGGCAGACCAGTGAGGTGTCCCCATTTTACAGGAAAGGGAGGCCTAGGGAGCTTAACGCATTTCCCATCCTCACATTTGCAACTGGCAGCTGGGTCCGAATGATGACAAATCCCATATGCTTTACGATCTCTTGAATTGAAGGCAAAGTCCCCATCTGCTCATCTTTGTTTTTCTCAAAGCTCATTCATTCAGCAAAATATTTACAGAACATCTATTATGCGACAGGTCTGTTCTAGGTGTCATCGTTGTTAGATGACAGCTTGCAGCAAACGTGAAGAAGGTGGACCAGACGGCCTTAAACTCTGAGCGCTAACAAGGCCATGATTCCGTGTCTGGGTTACTGCGGGGAATAAAACCTCTTTTCATCTGCCGTCCAGGGTACCACCCTTCCAACTCTAGCCAGCTGTAGGCTGTGCAGGGAGCATGTGCCTTCCAAGTCCTCTGAAGCCATGAGGAGGGAGATGTTTCCAGGGCCGGGCTTGGTCTGCGCTGCCCAGCTGCCTTCTTGGCCTCTGGGTCCCGGTCTCTGGCTTCAGCTAGGCCTCTATTGTCGAACAGAGTAGCAGTCTGCAGGGGTGATGCCCCTGCCGGAGCCCTAATTGAATGTAGTTGGCACTCCCCAGGAAGTGTGAGAGTTCCAACTGGCATTTGCCTGGCACTTGAGAAAGGTGCAAAACTCCTGCTAGCCGGCACAAAGACCCGAGACATCTCTGTCTGCCAAGCACTCAGTCTGGGAGGGGGAGGCAGGCAGAGACAATGCTGGCTTTATCTGGCTCCCTCCTCTCTTGCTGCCAGGCTTGCTGAGTGTCAGGCAGCTCAGGCAGGGGGCTGCCTCTCCCGGTTCCCTGGGGCTCAGCCCTTTCACACGTGGGAGGGGCTCCTGGAGCCTCCGGACTCTCCCGGGGATACGTTTCTTTCCCTTGCCCGGCCCTTTGTTCTGCTGCCTTTGTTCAGTAGATGGATAGGGCAGCGGGGGCCGGGGGTAGGGTGTTCAAAGAGCCCTTGTGGAACCTTTGAAAGCTCCATGTGAAGCTCTTCTAATGAAGGGTTTGTTTAGGGAGGTGGTTGGAACATTGATTAGAATGGGTCTTTTTATTTTGACATCTGTGGGACCTAATCATCACTGAAAGGTGAGTTGCCTTTTTGAAGTAACCACAGCAACAACAAACACACTTATTATGCGCTCGCTATTTGCCAGGCGCTTTACTGAGGGCATGATGCAGGGGAGACCCCGCACAGCCCCATGAGTCCCTGTTAGCTTCATCTTGCAGATGAAGAAACTCAAGCGTAGAAAACTTGAGAAATTTGCCCCAAATCCACAAAACTAGCACGTGGGGGAGCTTGGGTTTTATGCCAAGTAGTCTTCAGGAGTCTGCTGTCTTGATGACCATGATATGCATTTTCCAAAAAGTATGAATGTGAGAGTTTTCAGGGCTGCTTTGAATTATTCCAGAAGGACAGGGAACTCATACTTAACTTATGTGCTAAGGACTTCACGTATATTATTTTATTTGTTATTATACCCATTTCCCTGATGAGAAAAGTGAGGTTCAGAGAGGTTAAGTGACTTGCCCAAGATCACACAGCTGGTAATTAATAGAGTTAAGAGTTGAACCCAGTTCAATGTGACTCCAAAGCCCAGGCTTTTTCCATTACGCACTATTGCCTTCCTACAAATAGTAAACATAATCATCGTTGGGATTGAGCTCAAAGTTGAAAACATCTTTCCTAGATCTTCTAGAGGTCCCTGTCTTCCTCTGCTCCCCCGAAGACCTCTCCCTTTTGCCCACACTCCACCAGCTGTGTCTCACACTTGTTTTATTCTTGGTCAGTCTCCTGTCATAGCCAAAGACACATCGGGGCTTTGTTTTAGAAACCAGGGCTGCTGGCATGGTCAGGGAGCAGGTCGCCTGTGGTGGGGAACAGAACAGCTTGCTCTGCTGTTCCTGCGGCCCCTTCTCTGACCCCACGCCTCTCCCCATCCCAGCAGGCCTGTCAGGCTGCAGCTGGGCCAAGAGCAGGGGGGCTTGCCAAGCTTCCCGGGAAGCGGGCTTTAGTCAGAGGCTCTGGGTCTGACCCTCGCCCTCTGAACTCTCAGCCCTCCTGCTGCATTTTCCTCTGTTCTCATTAACCTCTGCCCCCAACCCAATCGTAGTCTGTCCCCCTCAGGGCAGGGTGAACTGCCAAGTCACAATTTTTCTTATTTTTTTTCCCCAAGCCCAAGTTCTTGAAACTTCAGCACCATGGGATTTGCGGCCCCTGCCTGTGTGTGGGCAGCCGCAGAACGGCTCTGAGGGCAGCGGAGCGTTTCCCTGTTAACTCGTGGGTCAGTCTGCAGCCTGGGCACTGCCAGGCCCGGGGAGCAAACTTCCAAGACCTGAGGCTCCTGGGCCATCTCCTGGACGGCCTGTTGGGGAGAGATGACCTGGGCTGGTGGCTGTGGGCCCCCAGGTAAATAGGGGTGTCTCCCAGCCCTCCTTCTCTGGGCCTGGGTCAGGGGACGGAGTTCACAGTGAGCAGAAGGGACAGGAGGCTAGAGATGTTCCCCCTTTTCTTCACCGTCTTTCCGGCTGTTCCCCGCTTCCCGCAGAAATGGAATATAACGCAAGGAGAGGGTGCGGGCCACCAGTTCTCAGGACCTGTAGGACAGCGACTCCCACATCTGGCTGACATTAGGATCATTCGGGAAGCTCTGAAAATAATACAGATTTCTGCGTTTTCCTGAAGTCCTAGAGATCCAGTATCTCAACGGGGGCTTGCCGATGGGTCCCCGAGACCCACCACAACGCTGGGGAAATGGGCACTTTGGTAGGGGCGCGTGTGACAAGACAGCGAAGGAGGTTGGGGGCAGTCATGATGGTCGGGGAAGCAGCGAGAGGCGGGCCAGGGACTGAGGAGCTTCGGACACATGGCGGCTGAGGCTTTGGTGGGTGTGAGCTTTGGGAGCTTGACGTGAGGGGAAGGAAAGCAGCCCTTTTTGAGGGCTGCTAGGGCAGGACAAGGCAAAGACAAGAAATGGGGAGCCCAGAGAGGTTAGGCCGCCTGCCTGGTGGTTTCTGCACCCGTAGCTTAGTGCTCCCTTGTGGCGCTCACATCCTCTGAAGACAGGAGTCGCCTGGGGAGGGTCTGCGGCCCCGGGACCCCACCTCCCGCGGATCGTCAGGGTTGCCTAGTCCTGTTCGCCTTGATGTGCTTTCTCTTTGGGATGTTATTGTAGCTGTTAAATCTAAATCATAACATGCCCGGGGCCGGCCAGGCCAGCTGAGACAATACCGGTCCTAGCCGGGCCCCGGATTTAGCCACAGAGCTCTTCCCCGCAAGGAGTACAAAGTACACGCATTCCTGTCCAGCCTCTTGACTTTGTGAGCTGAGGATGCCTCTTCCTGCTTTCCAGACAGCGGATTTTGAGGGGCGAGGGGCAAAGCTATATTCTCACCACGGCACTGATATGAAGGACCCCCTAGCTCCAGAGATTCTGCCCCTGGATTCCTTCCAAACCGGTCATACTGCAAGGAGGGCCCAGGAAGGGAGAAAGTGGAGGCAGAATCAGGGCTTTATTTCCGCTGCAGAAAGTTGGTGCCAGGCCTGGCTTAGTCCCAGAGCTCCCTCCCAGGCTCCGCCACCCCGGGTCCTTCAGGCTTCGCCTAGTGCCTGCTGCCCACGCCATCCCGGTAGTGCCCGAGGAACGCTGTCGGGGGCCCCGCCGGGAGAGCCGGGTCGCAGGCGGAGAGCAGCGTCGGCCACCGGCCTGCGTGCTCCCAAGGAGCCCGGACGGCCTGGGTTTCCTGGGGCGCAACGTTCTTGCCTTTTCCCTGTGTAGGTGTGGATGGACGCGGGCACCCAGATCTTCTTCTCCTTCGCCATCTGTCTAGGGTGCCTGACTGCCCTGGGCAGCTACAACAAGTACCACAACAACTGCTACAGGTGATCGGAGGGGTGGGGGCTGGGCCGCCGACCCGCCTCTCCCCTGCCCCTCCAGCGTGCCAGGTCAGGGGTGCTTTGGAGGGTGCAACCGCTCATGGATTTGCCTCCCCCCACCCACCTTCACCCCACTTTCCCATGCCCCAGGGCCCCCAGTTGCTGAAAGGGAGCCAAGTGCAGCATGGGCAGAGGGATTGCCTCCAAAGGCTGGGATGGTTGTGGTTGGCTGGGAAGCCACAGTGGGGGCCCAGCCCGCTGGCTAATGGAGAGGTTAGTGGGCTCGAGCCTGAGAAGTCATTCATCATGCCATGCAGGGGAGCCTCATTTGCCCCAGCCAACGCTGAACCCTTACCTATTTTTACCTCACTGCTCCCCATCTCATGTCCCCCTCCCCAGGGCTCCCTCCAGCCGACTGGGTTCATATCAGACCATCTCAGCCAAGTTCAAGCTAAACAAACAAAAAAATCACATCATGCATTTCAAAATCAAATTTGGGGGATGAGGATTATGTGTGGCTTGGGATTGTCCGTGTCTATACATATCCTCCACATTAGCGTGCCAAACTGAATTGTGTCTGAGGGGTAGCGTCCCAAGAGGTGTGGTGGTAATATGGCGGGAGGGGAGGCTGTGCGGCAGTTCGTAATTTTAAGATGAATATTTTACTTCCTTAGAACCTTATTCTTTAGTGACTACTGTGACTGACTCCAAGTCTCAGCTAATGGGTGGGGGCGGGCAGGCAGAACCCACCCCTTGAATGTTCATCTGGATCCTGCCAGGCAGCCCCCGTCTGGCCTGCGTGAAGGGCTGGGGTGAGTGTCTGCCCATCTGAGGGGCTTCCTGCTGGCATCCTCTTGCTGACCTGGCCTGTCTCTGCCCCCCTGCCTGCCCGACAGGGACTGCATCGCCCTCTGCTTCCTCAACAGCGGCACCAGCTTCGTGGCCGGGTTTGCTATCTTCTCTGTCCTGGGCTTCATGTCCCAGGAGCAGGGGGTGCCCATCTCTGAGGTGGCCGAATCTGGTGAGTGTTGGGGGCCCGGGTGCTAGGGGTGGGTTCTGCGAGCTTTGTTTGAACCTTCGCCAACTGGGATCTGGACGCCTTTCTATTGTCACCTACACTGGGGTTGACCCACGGTCACCCTTCAGTGGACGCATCCCTGGGAAGACCTAGGGGAGCACATCCACACTCACCCCAGCTTCAAAGGGTGGAGGGGTATACGGGGAGTGTTTCCCACACCTGGCCTCCACTTCCTTACCCTGGAGGCAACCAGTGTGACCAGGCTTGTGTTTCTCCTTCCAGAAACAATTTAGGCATCTGTGAGAAGAAAAGTGCACACACACATACACACGTACGTGAACATTCATACACGCTTAACATATCACTATTTCTATTTCTTATCCCCCTTTCTAGAAAACCAACTGACAATATACTGTAGACACTGTTCTGCGCTTTGCCTTGTTTTGCTCACTTTAAAATGTATCTGAAAGATAAGTTTATGTTGGCACAGTTTCCTCCTTTTCACCATGCAGTGTTGTTGCTTTTATATTTTTTATTTTTTTAAAGATTTATTTATTTATTTTAGAGAGAAAGAGAGAGAGCGTGAGCTGGGGGAGGGACAGAGGGCAAAGGGAAAGGGAGGGAGAATCTCAAGTAGACTCCCGGCTGAGCGCAGAGCCAGATGCAGGGCTCGATCCCAGGACCCTGAGATCATGACCTGAGCTGAAATGGAGATAGTCGCTTAACTGACTGAGCCACTCAGGTGCCCCTGTTGTTGCTTTTATTTTATTTTTTAAAGTTTTATTTATTTGAGGGCACCTGGGTGGCTCAGTCGTTAAGCGTCTGCCTTCGGCTCAGGTCATGATCCCAGGGTCCTGGGATCGAGCCCCTCACTGGGCTCCCTGCTGAGCAGGGAGTCTGCTTCTCCCTCTCCCTCTGCCACTCCCCTTGCTTGTACTCTCTCTCTCTCTGTGTGTCAAATAAATAAAATCTTAAAAAAAAAGATTCATTTATTTGAGAGAGACAGAGAATGAGAGCACGTGAGTACTGAACACACGAGTAGAGGGAGGGGCAGAGGGAAAGACTCTCAAGCAGACTCCCCATTGAGTATGGAGCCCCAGAGGGTGGGGGGGTGCTCAATCTCGGGACCCTGAGATCAGCACCTGAGCCGACACCGAGTCAGAGGCTCAGCCCACTGAGCCACCCAGGCGCCCCCTGTTGTTGCTTTGAAATAAAATCAAGAACCAGTCCCCCACCTGGGTAAGCTGTAAATGTCTCTTCCCCTTCCCCTACTCTTGAGGACCACCTTCTGGCCCTCTGCAGCCAGACAGCAGTTCATCATCGCCTTCCCAAGCACGCCCTGTTACGCAGAGTGACAAGCACTGGGAACTGACATCACTGATTCTTATTAAAAATGATGTTGTTTCACTTTTATTAAACATTTGCTCTATGCCGGGCACTGCAGGAAGCAGTTTGTTTGCACCAGGCAATAGAAAGCTTTGAGGCAGGACTGGTATTATCCCCATCCCACCAGTGTGGCAGGTGGGGATCGAAGAGGTAAATGACCATCCAAGGTCACAGTCATACTGTTTCTCAGAGGAAGCTTCCATTGGATGAACCCGGGCGTGGGCATGTGTATCTGCTCCTGTCATCTGAGCCAGCTGAGAGGAACATTAATTTGTTTGAGAGGCCGTACGTCAATGGTACTCTGAAATTGATGCCTGGTCACTCGTTGTAGGGTGACAGGAAAGGCTCTGGGTGCAGAGGTGGCAAACTGGTGGCCCCAGGTTCAATCTAGTCTTGGAGGTATTTTCTTTGGGAGCATCTCTGCAGAAAGAACACAGCAATTGCCTTGGTGGGGTCATGATGATGGCAGGTATCATTGAGCCCCGCCTGTGCTCATTTGAGCCTGGGTCAGCTGCACAAATATACGTGGCCTGCCCGGCTCTGAGCTCTTTTTTTTTTTTTTTTTAAAGATTTTATTTATTTATATGAGAGAGAGAGAATGAGAGATAGAGAGCACGAGAGGGAAGAGGGTCAGAGGGAGAAGCAGACTCCCTGCTGAGCAGAGAGCCCGATGTAGGACTCGATCCCGGGACTCCAGAATCATGACCTGCGGCTCTGAGCTCTTTTTAAGTCTGAAACCTCTGGTTTGGGGCAATAGGTCCTGAGAATGAGCCCTGAGGATCTGGGATAGGGCTTGCAGAAATGCAGGTGATCTGCCCCCTTTCCGTCTCCCAAAGTCCTCACACCCACAGCCTGTAGGTTCTGTTCCTTCCCAGGAGAACACAGTGGGCGGTGCCTTGGAGATCTGGGGAGCAGGTGGAGGTTCGAGTGGCTTCTCCCAGGGGAGGCTGGGGGTGATGACTGTAACTGTGGGGCGAGGTTTCCCCTGGCTCCTGTGCTTGCATGACCCACGCCAGGCAGCCTTGGGATCACACGTGGCCTGGAGGCAGCCCAGAAACTGGGCTGTGTTCTTCTGCTCCTTGCTGTAGGCCCTGGCCTGGCTTTCATCGCCTACCCCCGGGCCGTGGTGATGCTGCCCTTCTCTCCTCTCTGGGCCTGCTGCTTCTTCTTCATGGTCGTCCTCCTGGGACTGGACAGCCAGGTATCAAGAGGTGGTCACGCGGAGCCTGAGAGAAAAGTGGGTGTGTGTGGGCTGGAGGAAGGGGAGCCGTGGACAGGAGGCTGAGCCCCAAGTCCCGAGGGGCCTTAAGACAGTTGGGGACTGGGCAAATGTCACAGGTGGAGACCCTTTGAGGGACCAAGAGTGGCTCTGCAGGGTAGGTCCAGAGTTAAGCACACCAGGACGGCCCTGGGGACTTGAGACAGGGACAGGGCAGGGCTGAGCCTGGGAGCAAGAAGCCAGAGCTGGCTGATGCAGCAGCGTATTTTGGGAGCTCTCTTTCCCTCCAATTCTTTTGCCCTCTCATCCAGTTTGTGTGCGTAGAAAGCCTGGTGACGGCGCTGGTGGACATGTACCCCCGTGTTTTCCGCAAGAAGAACCGGAGGGAGCTCCTCATCCTGGGCGTGTCTGTCACCTCCTTCTTCATCGGGCTGGTCATGCTCACAGAGGTGAGGGTCTGGGAGGCTCAAAGGTGGGGACCGGGTGCGGAAGAGAAGTCAAGCTGGGCAGGCCCCCCGGGCTTCAGGGCTCTGGGACTCCCTCCTTTTCCAGCCACAGGGAGCTCCAAGTAGTTGAGGCCTTCCTCTGGCCTTGGAACATTAGCCACCTACCTCTGGGGGTGGCTGAGGGGTGATTTGGCTCTGTGGAAAGCTAAGAGGTATGAGAAAGATGGTCAGGAAGTTCTGGGCTAGGAAAAACTGCCTCTCCGGCAAGCTCCCATAACTTCCAGGCAGCGGAACCATGTTCCCGGGACAGACTTCAAAGGGAGGAAGGGAGCCCTGGGGATGGGTACTATTCTGTGTTTCGTCTCAAGGGAGAAGGAAGGAGATGGAGCTTGTCAGCTTCACAGTACTGATGACGGCCTCTGTCCTGATCGTCTGCCAGAAAGTACACGCTTCGTCTCCAACTTCTGGGTCAATCCCTAAACGTTCTCAGGGATGAGCTAACAATAGCTGTCTGTTTTATCCACCTTCTCTCCGAAAATAATAATAAAAAAATTATTGTCTCATATCTGCCCTAGTGCCTCACAGCTCCCAAACTATATTCTGTTTTAATATCTGTCCCCTGTGATCCTCACCAGGTCTACTCTGTGTCCGTGGGTGTGAGGCTGGAGGCCAGGGGGGTAAATCTGTCTGTTCCCTCTGGATACAGTTCTGGTTTTTTTTCTCTTCCCCCGGCAGGGCGGTATGTACGTATTTCAGCTCTTTGACTACTATGCAGCCAGTGGCATGTGCCTCCTGTTTGTGGCCATCTTTGAGTCCCTCTGTGTGGCTTGGGTCTATGGTGAGTGACTCTTCCCCCAGGTCTTAACCCCAGGGCTCATCGCCACCTCAGGGCCCTTGGACAAAAGAGTCATCTACTGCTCTCACCCACATTTTCCTGGGACTCCTCCCCTGCTCGACCTCAAAAATCTCAAGAATCCCAAATCACCACCATTGGAAGGGCCCTCCAGAGGTTGCTTTGGCACCCTCCTGGTTATGGCCGCACCCAGATTGCCCCGAGTGGGCCCACATCCTGTTCTAGCCAAACCTCGTCTGCCCTTCACAACCCTGATGTTCAGAAAGTCATTATCTTTGCCTATGCCAAGATTTGCCCCCTGCTGCATATGCCTATATATCCCCGGGAAGAGATGCTTCCAGCAGTGATTTGGAAAGACAGCCATGGTATCTTCTATTTCTTGGTCCTTGCTCATCCAGCCCATGCCTCAGATGCTGAAGAATGTCCTTTCTCCCCCTTCCTTCCTTCTCTTCTTCCTGGTAGGAGCCGGGCGCTTCTATGACAACATTGAAGATATGATTGGATACAGGCCGTGGCCTCTTATCAAATATTGCTGGCTCTTCCTCACCCCAGCTGTATGCACAGTAAGAGAACCTTCAGGGGGAAAGCGACATGAAGGCAAAGAGAGATGGTGGTGGTAGGAGGATAGATCGGCTGTTAGCTCTAGAACGGACTTCTCCACGGGGATTGAAAATCATTTCAGATTTTCACTCACCCTCCTGTTGGATTCTAGAAAATGATTAGCAAGATAGATTCTTCCTTTCCAATTCACAGAAGGTTAAACTGAGGTCCAGAGCTGCCAGATGGTTTGACCAACACCACAATGTGAGTCAAGTGTCACAGGCAGGATG